AAAGAGGAAGAGTTCAAAAGCACCAAAGAAAATATTTTACTTTATTTTGGCTTTATCTTACTCTTTAAATGATATCAATATGCATTAAGCACAAGAATACTTTTTCAGTATATGCAAAGCTTAGGAAGAGCTCAGATGCTAGATACTTAGTTGCAGTTAAAAAATAGAGAAAACCCTTCAAGAATTACTAGGAAAAATGTAAATGATACTATTTCAAATCTTTAGCTTCATGAAATATGAAATCACAAAAAAAAAAGAAAATAGAAACAGTATCTTACATTTATCTTAAAAAGTACACAAGTCTAAGCCTTGTCAGAAATCATTAGATGAAACAATCTCCTTCTAGAACATATGTAAGTGAAATGTAATATTGTTCCTTTCTGGGCAATCTTAGCTTTTCTAAATTAGTTTTTCCAATGAAACTTAAAATTGGTCCCATACCAACACCTTTTCACAAGGTTATATATTTCTCAGGGTTTTGTCAATTTTGTTCAAATTACTTTTCTTTTCCAGTTAAAAATCATAGTATTTTAACTCTCTTAAAACTATCTGAATGTAAGCCTAGATATTCCCACAATTTAGCCAAATTAAACAGTATATACGGCCCTTGGTGAGAATGACCCTATTTATCTGGCTCAGCTTCATGTCCTTTGGACTTGCCATTCTGATAATATGGAACTCTTTGTAGTTCCATGATTAAGTCCTCCCCTCTTGTGGAAAACATTGTAACTTTGCTTTCAACTTGCGTTCAGCTGGAATATTCCTTACCCTTCTATTCAACGACACACTCATCCATCAAATCTCACTCAAACAGTATTCTCTGCAAAACTTTCCCAGATTACTCCCAACATAGCCCCCATACTGACAGGTCACATGTTATTAATAAATTAACTCTATGCATAATTATCATTTTTGTAATAACCATCTAAAGGCAGGGGTCATGATTTTCACGTAGATATGCTGGCACAGCGTAGGCAACTGTTCACATTTATGAGGTACTAGAAATATCATTATTCCCAAAGATATGCAAAATCCTCACTAAACAACAAAATGTTGACTTAAATACTTTAATTTGTAGAGTTTTTAATCTTACTCCATAACAAAAAAACATCATTGTGGGAAAGGAACCAGCACAAGATTTAAAATTAGAAAAAGAAATCACATTCTATGGCACCTCTCCAAAAACACCTTTTGTGGTATTGCCACTGACAGAGTATCATGAAATTAAGAAACACTTCCAAAACTCCCCATAGATTATCGTCTTTAACTTAAATACACGGCAATCAAGAATTTATCCTCCCTTTACTTCCCATGGACATCAAACAAAGAACATGGCACAAAATCAACTTTTTGAAATAAATAAAAATAAATCTTGCAGTAGGATTCATTAGCAATAAAACCATAAACGCCACTACCATTTAAATCTCATATAACCTTCAACCTTCAACCCACTTAATGTCAAAATTAATCAGGTTTAATCCTTCTTCTAGAGTGATATCTAACAATCTAGTAACATACCATTGTAAGTATCCCAAGATACCCCCCATCCCAAGAATTTATCAGTGCACTTCAAATATTCATATAAAGTACAAGTAGGAAAGAAAATTTCACACTGGCCTATAAAATAAATATAAAGAAAATGCAGTTGACTACAGCTTAACTGAAACATAAAATTATCTAGTAATTCTCAAGCTATAAACACTAACAGTTTCAATTAGAAACTAAGAGTATCAAGAGAACTCTCCTGAAAGTTAAATGGAAATCACAACAAGAATATTTTCCAAAAGCAGGCCATTTCTTTATGCAATTACTTGTTTTCATTTTATAGCTGTCATACTTGTTTATCCATAATGAAACACTGCTCTGCTCTTCTCACGGTAATCAAAACAATAAAACAAAGCTAAAGAAAGAAAATGTGTCCCCCAAAAGTTGAGATACTATTTTGGGGAGAGACAATTAGAAATACTTTCAAGTACTGAATTCCAGTGACCTCTAATCAGTGAACAGGATAAAATTTATAAGTTCATATAAAATTTAAAGCATATTTAAAATTTTTGCTTTGATTTGTGGGACACAGACTTCACAATTCATAGACATGCATATATTTTAGAAATATTTTGAGATGTCAAGAACAGGGCTTAGTGCCTTTGTTACTTGAAAAATGAAAGGAAACTTTCAATGATGTTTTAGATTACTTAATTTTTAAGATACTTCATTAGAAATTTTTCCAATGAGAAGAAACACTTTTCACTGTAGTGATTACTATACATATATATATACACACACATATATACGTATATATATGTATATATTTGATATTTATTAGGAGAAAAAACACACAATATGTCTTGAGTGTATCTTTTAACTATAAATCAATTAAAACCCATTGCAATTACTACTGCTTCCACAGAAACAATTCCACAAGATGACATGTAGGAACAGGGTTCTACAGCACAATTCACTTCTATAAAATACTCAACACAAAGAATGATTTATTTTCTCAATACTGTGTCATACATTGGTGAGGTACTGAAATGAAAAGGAAAAACATGAATTCATCCAAAAGAGCATTTACATAAGTTTGAAGAGGAACAAAAGACCACTGGTTAGAGATATAAAATTCATCCAGTAACCATAATTAACAAGGAAAATAAGAATAGTAGACAGTTTAGAAGAAGTCAATGGAAATGATTACAGAAAAATATTATATTGTTGCTATAATATGACTAGTAAGGAAAATCATACCAAAAAAGAAAAGTACTTATGAAAATAAAGACAAAAATACACTGTATGCCACAGATGACAAGTTTGAGGCTTGTGTATTAATGCTTTGCAATACTCTGACAGATGTGACTGATTGATCACTGGACTCTTTGTTGCTGATCCTGGAATCTTTCTCAATACACAACACAGAGAGCCACTGCCAGTCACTGAAAGCTGGCACTAAAATCTATTTGTCAAACCTGCTCTCAGTGACATTGTTCAAGATGTTTAATCAGGAACCTTCCCCACAGGCAAACAGCACAGGACTATGCACAGACTTGTAGAATACGTGGTCAAGCATGGGTTGACTTTCAAAAATTTGTGAATGCATGAAAATCCTTAAAAAGCAAAATGGGGAAATAGATGGGGAATAAATGGGAAAATAAGATTACAGTAGATAATGATATGATTCGGTGAGTGGGATAAGTTTTTAAAATCTAATTGCCATCTACTATTTAAAATGGTTTCAATTCTGATGAGATAGGCACTTAAAAGATGCAGTCAGCCACTTGCAAGAAAAGCAATCACTACAAAAGCAGCAAGAAATTGAAACAACAATTCTCTTAACCACAAAGCACAAAAAATTAAAGATGTTATTGGTAACTGACAAATTAATAAAAACAGTTTCAATAATGTTTATTTACTATGGCTTAAAGCTATAGATGATCTAATGGTTTGAAAAAAATCTGAGAAAAAGTGAACAACTACAATAGAGAATTTGATGCCTGAAGTTGCTTTAACACCTGAGAAATCAAAATTATAGATTTTCTCTAAATAAAGGGCAAAACCCTTTATTGCTACTTTTCTGTTTTTTGGGTTTTTTTGGTGAGGAAGATTGGCCCTGAGCTAACATTTTGCTGCCAATCTTCCTCTTTTTGCTTGAGGAAGGCTGTTGCTGAGCTAACATCTATGCCAATCTTCCTCTATTTTGTATGTGGGATGCCGCCACAGCACGGTTTGACAAGCCTGTGTAGGTCTGCACCAGGGATCCAAATCCGTGAACCCTAGGCCACCGAAGTGGAGCACGTGAACTTAACCACTGCACCACCTGGCCGGCCCCTGTATTGTTAATTTTAACGAAGTGTTTTCTTCTAGTGAAATTAGTGATAATGCAATTCTTGGCCAAAATCAAATGCGTTAAGTCTTTAAAAATATCTCTTTTCACAGAAAGTAAAACAAATAAAAGTGGCTTAGTTTTAGTTCTCAATTTCCAGAAAAATAGTATCCCTAGTGAACGTATTTTAAAATACACACAATTGTTGAATCTTACTCAAAAATTAAGCCATAATTTTAGTTTCAGAATAAAAGTGAATACTAAGCAAAATTCTTGGGGGAAATTAAGTCAAAAATATCCATTGAGATTAAATAAATGTATATTTCAGGTTAAAATTTGTTCTGCTGTAAGTATACATTATATAACCCCACCAGAATGTTAAGTCAAAGGCTGTGTAATGAAACACATGAGAGAAAAATACACCTCAACAACCAAACCAGCTTAGATAAAGTCCACAATAGTTCAGTCTGACAATGAACCCTGCTCCGCACTGTTATGTGCTGTTTCCAGCACATGAAAACTGCATTAACTCCCTACTTAATTTTGCTTATATACTCTTAGCCATATTTAGGATCTGACATGAACTATGCAAGAGATCTTAAGTTGTATTGACATTCAGCAGTAAAGAACTTTCAGCTGTGAGCAACTGAAATCACAATCTATGAAGTTTCAAGACCAAGTCACTGGCCTTAATGAAATCAGAGAAAGTTTTCAAAAATCTCCTTTAAAATAACTAGTATGCTAGAATCTTTTACCCTTGGCCAAACTCACTGTCATTTATTTTTCTTTTACTATTACACTTTCCCATGACTTTATAAGTAATTTCTTTGAAAAATGAGAATAGGTAACATATACAGTCTTGTTTGGCTTAAAGTCAATAGCTGCTTACATGACTAATCTGTGGTATATCTTATCACTATGCTATTTATGATTATAATAAAACAAATTTTAATTAGTAGGTAAGTCATTGTCTAGTTAACTGTACTTACCTCAGGTGAGATAGAAAACAAATGTTTCTGCTAACCATATAAACTACCAAAGAATGCTTTCACACAAAATATGAAGACCAACAAGAAAATATATGTTTTGTGAAAGACATTTATTGCTGTATTTTAGCAAATAGATCAGTTTTCTAGCATTCTATTAATGAAACTGGAAAATGTTTTTAAAATGTTCTCCTTACCTGTGTATACAGTTTTTACTCTCGAGATAGGACATACCAGAAGCAGCATCTAATGCAAATTTCACTAATTGTTTGAGTTTTATTTCATCCTTCTTCTTTCTCAGAAAGGAGAGGAAATCACCTCCTAGAAGAATTGACAGATGAACAATGAGACAAAATCATGATGAAAGTCACATTTATTACCTATTAGAGATACCTGACAGAACAAAAAGCATTACACATTTGACCACGCTTTTTGCCCATTTTGTTTGAGGTGAGGATAAAGGAAACATGAAAAGAACACTTGTTATTAGAAGCAGATACCATAAACTGTCCTAGATACAGTTTAAGTACTTTAAGTGATTCACACTGTATATTGCCCAACACACGATAATATTTAAAGTCATATTTTTCCTCCATAACAATTTCTCATCACTCTGCCTGGCTAAAATTTTCTACAAAATTTTAGTGTTTCTAACACAAATAAAAGATCATAATTATCATGAGTTAAACATGTAAATGATATTGAATTTATCAGATTCAGTGATTGCTTTAAAAATTGAGATTATTAACAATACCATCACTGATAGTGGAGCCAGAAAGAGAAAAGAGTATGATTTTGATAAAGTTTAGTTGCTGAGCCACATTGGATTTTTCGTGCATCAAATGGATTCCAGTGATGTCTTAGAGAAACTCAAACCAGCATGGTCCAAAAGAAATATAATGAAAGCCACATAGTAATTTTAAATTTACTAGTAGCCACATTTTTAAAAGTAACAACAAAAAGGTGAAATTGATTTTAAAAATATATTTTTTCTTTAGCATAACATATCCAAAGTATTATATCGACATGTATCATTATAAAAAATATATGGGAGATATTTTACATTTTATCATCCTAAGTCTTTAAAACATGACGTTTAGGGGTCAGCCTCGGTGGCCTAATGGTTAAGTTCAGTGCACTCTGCTTTGGTGGCTCGCGTTGGGTTCCTGGGTGTGGACTACACCGCTCTGTTAGTGGCCATGCTGTGCTGGCAGCCCCCATACTAAAAAATAGAAGATTGGCATGGATGTTAGCTCAGGGTGAATCTTCCTCAGCAAAAATAAATAAATAAATAAATAAACAAAACAAAGTACAATGTTTATTTTACATTAATGGGACATCTCAATTTAGATGCAAAGTTTCATCTGAAATATTTAATCTGTATTTAGATTTCATAAAATTTACAGTTGAAAAAGTAGATTCACATAAGTTGTTCCCAACATGCTTAAAAATTTCCAATAACTGTGAATCATGTATCAATTTTTAAATTTAAATCAATTAAAATTAAATGAAATTCAAAATTCAGTTTTTTAGAAGCACTAGCCACATTTCAAAAGCTAAAGAGCTCAGGAGCCACATATGGCCAGTGACTACCATATTAAATGGTATAGCTTTAAACTGTGCAGTCATTCTTTTTTTTTAAAGATTGGCACCTGAGCTAACATCTGTTGCCAATCTTTTTTTTTCCCTCCTCCCCAAAGTTCCCCAGTACATAGCTGTAGATTGTAGTTGTAGATCATTCTAGTTGTGCTATGTGGGATGCCACCTCAGCATGGCTTGATGAGTGGTGCCATGTTCACACCCAAGATCCGAACTGGAGAAACCCTGGGTCGCCAAAGCCGAGCACACGAACTTAACCACTTGGCCATGGGGCTGGTCCCTGCGCAGTCATTCTTAATATAGCATTAAAGGCTACAACTTAATTATTTTTCTTTGTTAATGTACAGTATATTGCATGTTTTTTTTTAAAGTTAAGGCATATTAGAAAGAATATTCTTTAAAAACAATCATTCCATTTTCTCTATTAGGCCCTCAGATTTTAAGCCAGAATTTTGTAAGAAGGATTAGCATTTTAATTGCTATTTCCTGAACTTTTTTATCGTCTTCACCAGGGAATCTAGGCTTCCTTAAATGGAACAACTCTAGAGGTGAAGACTTAATGGCTTTTTCTTTAAGGGGAGCACCTAGAAAATAAACACCTGCCTAAATCTACTTACAATGTTCTCTTTTTCTAACTTCTCTTATTCATAATCAGGTATTACCCAAATTTAGGTGGGCCATTTACAAAATCAATAAGCTATGTGGTTAAAAATAATCTTAACAGTGTCAGATAATTTACTTTTTTCTGTTCTTTTTAAGAGAATATCAAATATATTAAATTACTAGAAAGATTATTGAAATAGTTTCTATAAAGCTTAACTCAATTTTCTGAACAAAATACATAAATGCAACAGTAAACAGCAAAATTAACTACTAATTTCTCAACTTTAATAGGTACAAAAATGCCTATTAAAATGGACTTGAAATCAAATCAATATTTAGTTTAAGTTGTTACTTTGACCAATATTCACATATATTAATTCTTTTGCTAGATGTGTGATCGACTGTTTTAGAAAGAGTGCACCCTTCTGGTCTTGAAACCACATTGCATTTTAAGCTGTGGAATAACTTTCAAATGAAAAGATCTTTTCTGAAATTTGATTAAAAGCAGCATATGACATAACTCCAGTATTCTGTGGAATCCTAATATTATTTATTTCCAAAGTTAGCTTATATTCAGCACTCTTCCATCTGTCTCTTGTTCTTTTTAAAATTATTCCTTCATATAATCCTCCTCACACTCCCCCACCCCTGCCTCAGACTACAAACCCTGGGAAGAGAATTGTGCCTCTGTTGTTCAACACTGTAATTTCAGCACCTACCAAAGTGTCTAGCATGTAATAATACCCTAATAAGCATTTCTTGAATGAATGAGTAAACAATGTGTACATATCTCCTTCTTCCTGCAATTTATAAGCTACCCATGAAGACAAGGACTGTTTTCCATTAATTTTAACATTTCTTCCTTAGCCCCTCTCCAATGGTTAGGACTATGCTTTTCAAGAACTTCTTAAATGTTAAAATAATGTTTAGAAAAGGATGACATTACATTTCTTATCAATGGCACCTGATGGATACCATAAGATTCTTCAAATTCCAACAATAAAACTTAGTTCATTCAAGACTCTGAGGTCATCTTGATAGATGCTTCTGTAACACTACTGCCTTACAAACTGCATCATTAAAAAAAAAAAAAGATTTGCAAAGAAGTAATCCTTGGTAGATAAGACTGTACAACAACATAAACTTAATGTTTTAATAAAAAAAGAAAAGACAACACAAATAGCATTAAAAATTAGCTGAAAAGTGATGCCAAGTCAATAAAGGTAAAGTACTAGAAAGGTAGCTAGATATAGCTATTTCCAAATACCATGACGTAGCCAAAGATGCAGACAAAGGGGTGTTTGACTGTCCTAGTTAATCCCACAAGATTTCTGCCTCAGAGAAATTTCTTGCTTAAAATCACAAAATCATTAAAGTAAATTTTAAATTTATTTCCAATTTATAGTTATTCAAGCCACAGACACTGTGATCTTAAGTAAAGGAACAGAGCCCTAGCTAGATTCTTGCAGAATATTGGAGAGAAGCAAAGCTTTCAGTAAAAATTAAATAATTATGATTCCATAGTAAAAGGCTGAGCCTTGGACAAGTGTAAGTATTAAGGACCTTGAAACAAGAAGTAAATTCCCCAGAGGATAGATTATGAAACTGAAGCTAGGACACTCAGAAAATGATTCAGACTGGGCCAGAACTATTCCTTTAGGCACGACATTTGACTATTATCATTAAGTGAAGAACTAGAGACTGACATTAGATGGTGTAGTCTTTAGTATTCACTGTGAAGTTACTGTAGAGGACACCGTCTGTTCCTTTGAACTCATTTTTTGGTTATTTTCATTAAATGCCAAGTTAAAGAGCCTCTCTTAGAATTTATGATATACACAATAATCATATATGCAGCACATATGTCTATATGTATGCATGTATATCCATCTATGTGTGTGTGTATGCACGTAGCACAGAGTGCCCTACCTGACCATTGCAGTAAGGATCTTGGTCTTCAAAGAGGGCAAAACAAGATAATAACTCCCTTTTTGTAACTGTCTTAACAAGGCTTATTTCTGTATGGGTATACTACACACCAAACCATGACTAGATTATTTTCTAGAATTCTTTACTTGTGATGAATTTCTGAGACAACACTTAATCTCTTTTTATAGCCAGCTTATGGTTTACTAGGGAGATGGCATGATGTGGGGAAAAGAGTGTGGATATTGAAGGCAGACTGACCTAGGTCTGATTAGCTATGTGGCCTTGGGTAAGCTGTTTAACCTTTTTTAACTTCTTTAAACACATAGTACACATGGTGCACACAGTACACACCACAAAGGCTGCTACAACTTATTATTGTTGTTGTTGAAGTTATTTGGCATATAAAATGAGGAAGAGTTGTAGTAGGGACTGGTTGTTGCACAACATCTATGTTCCCTCATTCACCTCAATTTCCTTAGGAACTGCCCTTCTCCCATATTGCAGAGTGTTAACCTCACCCTCAACAATAAGGGTGGTCCTAGATTGCTTAACCCAAGGAAGTCTGTTCCGCTGTCCAAATGACTAGTTCAGAGATAGACACATGGCTTAAGTCAGTCCACTGAGCTACAAGGAGATTCTTAAAGAGTGAAACAAACTTTGTTTTTTGAGAGAAGTACCAGGAAAGAAGCATTTGCTGCAACCGGAAGTGCACAAGACAGCATGTAGTACCACAAAGACTGGCAGCCTTGGGATGAAGCTATCACCATGGAAAGTAGGAAAGAAAATAGTTTTTGGTGACTGGATCAAACACTGCCTGAAGAGTCACTTCCCTCTATATTTTTCAGTTAAGTGGATTAATAAAATCTCTACAATTTCTTACATATCTTCTGTACTAGCAACTGAAAGATATCTAATGGATAAAATAGTATCTATATCAGAAGATTATTTTTGAGAATTAAAAAGGTTTATATATATATTGAATGTCTGGAACAATTAGAAAACAACAAATAGAAGTGTTTTATTATTGTCTGCAGCTAACATTCAGTAAGAGGATGGAAGGTTGTTATTCTCAACAGCTCCTTCTCAAATACTTCTGACTTCATGCTGTGTAAATTTGATCTTACCTGTTATTTCAGTATTAATAAGACTCTGAGGAACTGATCACATTGAACAAACTTGGAGAGATTATT